TTAAACAAACAAATGCAACTTCTGCAGTGTGCTGAAGAGGCACAACTACTTGTGAGACACAGTATAAACATTAAAATATTTCTCATAAAGGCCTAGAGCTGCCTCAAATTTGTAACAAGACCAATTGGATTCCAAGGCAAAGATAACATAGATCAGAAGAAAAGATCAATGAATATTCTAGAGGGAAATGTGTAAAGATTTTGTGATGAGTGCTCAGTCAAAAGTGTACTTATGTGAAAATGATTCTCTTGATATTATCAGGCAAAATGAAGACCATGCAAATTCCTTTCATGAAGCCTCTGCCTCAATCTCCAGAGAAATTAATGTTGAAAGTGATATAATCTGCTTTTTGTTTGCTTGGTTTTGATTTTGATTTTTTTTTTTTTAATTTTGATTTTTTTTGTGAATCTCTTTTGGGGCTTAATTTCTTAACCAGTAGAAATAAGAATATTGTAAAAGATTAAGTAGCTATAATCGTTAAACAACTATGAATGTTCAAATGTTAGTTTCATTAAAATTTGCCAATTACTTTGAAGGAAACAACCTCATAGTGTAAAAAGCACAATTTTTGAAAAGAAAGACACTGTAACTATAAATAATCTCAAAAGGAAAGCGGGCTATTCAGCTGGCATGAAAATATTTCCTTTCATTTCAGACAGTGTGGAAAACTAATGATTTAGTATACTGGCTTTTGCTTAGATTTTTAAATTTTTTATGCATGTTGCTTGATTTCTCCCCATGTCTGTATTTGTCTTTAATTATTATTTTTTTAATAATAATTTTTTGAGAACATGTAGGATTTATCTTAAAATGAGCACGTTCTTCTGCTTTTTTCCTTTATGCAGCTTCATACTGGTGAGTCACCGTGTCCATCCTGCTGAATTTTCCAAACAGAAGAAATGCATAACCTACATTTTTCACTGTAATATTAGCTTTTGCCTCATGTCTTCTTCCACAGTGGGATCAAGTGTGCTTCATTTCTGATGTCAAGTTGACTTCTTAGCAGTTTTCTCTTTTTCCATGTTAAAAGAACATACTTCTTCATGTGAATATATTATCAAAAGATAATCAGTGTTAAGCTAAAACTGCACAGTTGCAACAGCTAACATTGAACTCGGTAAAAAATTGAGGACAATAGATAAGGTAAAAACAGAACACTTTTTTTTTTTAAGCACATAAGGAACATGTACACCTCGTCAGGTTACTCCACTGAATATTTTTGCATAGCATTCATTGGCAGTGCCCTGGAGTTTCAGCTGTTTATTATTCTTCAATACTATGATTCACAGTTATTAAGACTGACTAGTGAAAGATCACTATCACATGAACTGGAAGGTGACTGAATGACCACAAACTAAAATAACGATGAACGGCAGTGAACAGAACTGAGGGAAAGTATGAGAGTGGCAGTGTCTGATGAGCCTTCAGGACTGGCATCATTTAGCAAACCCATTACTGACCAGGAAGATATATGTAATAAGAATGACAAAGAAATCTGAAGAAGTCTGTAAATAAAAGAGAACTAAGAACCATAAACAGCTGAAGTAAAAGAAGAAACAAAACATTTATTGCGGGACAACAATCTTCTTGAAGGAAATCAATTACTGATATGCACCTGGCACTAGATGCTAATCTCCAATCTTCTGGGGGCAAATTCTAAATAGATTACATCCCAAAACCAAGGAAGTCTAATTTTTAAATATTCTCCCCCAAAATAAACACATCAAACACAGCGACTGAAAATGTCTAACATTAACTTCAGGATGGTATGAGTTTCACATGCCATGAAAGTGGGTAACTCAAAAATTCATCAGCCCAAAATCAAGGAAGCTTATGAAGTGGTGAATGTGTTTGACAAGGCAAATCAAAATAAGAACCTGAAACCCTTCCTAACATATTCTTCTGGTTTATCAGGGGCCCTTTGTTTCAGATGCTGTTCTTCCAGTGTACAGCTTCTCAGATCTTAGAATATAGTCAATTTTAAGTAGTAAGAATTTCCAAATTATTTTCTAAAACAGCCCTGTGAATTAGAGTATTTGCTTTTGCAAAAAATACTACCCTTGCACACATAGTGAAAAATAAATAAATAAATAAATAAATAAATAAATAAATCTTTGGAACAATGGTACTGAACATTTTTTAAAGTTGTTGGTGTGATCTGAGGTGCTGTGAAAAATAATCAGTAGGACTATAAAGTTGCCTGTCATGACACTGCTCCAAGGTAAGGGCAAACATAATATCCGTTCATCTTATCTGGGCTAGGTTAAAGTAAATGGCTTTCATTCTGCATGCTTTCATGATCAGATATTAGTGGGGAAAAAAAATCTAAACTATGCTTAGAAGAAGGGAAATGCAACATCATCAGCATTATAGATACAATCCTGTAGTTACTTATGTTTCCCAAGGGCAATGAATGCATACAGAGCGATGACCTGCGTGTAGAACTGCTCTTCAGCTGGAGTTTGCTAAGCATCACTCTGAAAATCTCTGGTATTTGAAAAGAAACATCACTATGAACACATCCCTTGGCTTTCCCCTGATATTTATTTCTTTTGGTGCTGCAGCTGGCATGGCCTATTTAAATTTCTTTTTTTTTTTTTTTTTTTTTTTTTTTAATATTTTGTTAATTAACACGAGGAAGAAGTGGAGGGGGAGAAGGAAAAAAAGAAGGAAAAAAAAAAAAAAAAAAAGCTTTTCACGTTGTTGTGTACTGCGGAAGAAAAAAAAAAAAAACAAAACAAAACAACAAACAACCAAATGAGAAGGGCTGGGAATGGGTACATCCGAAGGAAGGGCAGTAAAACTCAGCAATGCGCACTGAGGGTCGCCATCTCAGCGCTTCCTTCGGCGGGGCCCTCACAGCCCCAGTAGCAACCGAGGAAAGCAGGCCATACCTGCAGGGAAAGCCGGGACACAGCGAGCCCAGACGGCTCCACTGCGGCCAACTCCCGAGCCGCTAACCCCGAATCCCTCCGCAGAGGGGAAGGCTGCGGGCCGCCCCGCCCCTCGCCTTGCCTCCCCCTCCTTCCCCTGCTGCCGGGGGTGTGTTTTCTTTCCGTGCCCCATCAAAGCCCCCTCTGTTATTGAAATATGAGGCCGCTTCCTCCCCGGCGGAGGCCGCTGGCAGGAGGCGGGGAGCAGCGGGGCGGTGCGGCCGCCCGCCGCCGCGAAGAAACGTCCCTTTGTTCGGGCGGCACGGCCCGGCTCCGCCTCGGGGCCGATGTCTGAGAGATCTCTCCGCTGTGCTTTCGCTCAGTCCGGCTGCGTCAGGGTCTCCTGCCCGGCACGAGGCGAAGGGCTCCGGGGCAGCCCGGCCGCGACAGCTCTTACTTAGCCCTGCCATGTGAACGTGTGTTATCACGGAATCACAGAATGGCTTGGGTTGGAAGGGAGCTTAAAGCCCACCAGCTCCAATCCCTGCCGGGGCAGGCTGCAGCCCCAGCTCGGGCTGCCCAGGGCCCCACCTGAGTGCCTCCAGGGATGGGGCACCACAGCTCTGTGGGCAGCTGTGCCAGGGCCTCAGCGCCCTCTGAGCGAAGCGTTTCATCCTCATCTCCCCTAATCTAGATCTCCATCCTTTTAGTTTAAAGCCACTCCCCCTTGTACTAACACTGCAGTTGTCTTCCGTCTCCTTTATAAGCCCCATTTAAGTACTGAAATGCCTCACTAATAGCCATGCACAACTGCCTTCGTATATCTAGGCAGAATTCTTTTTTTTTTTTTTTTGTTTTTGTTTTTAAATGAGGTCCACTGTGAAGTTGCTGATTAGACACAGCAGTGGTTGACCCCTGTGTGGTGACTCTGGTAGAACCAGCGGCGTCAGGAGTGTTTTTGCACCAGGATGTGCAGGCTCTGGCATTTCCTGATCAGGGAGGATTGATGAGCTGCAGCCTCTTTTGATGGTGCAGGCTGAGAGTTTGACACCCACAATGATAAAAGCCTAGCAGGGTCCGGACTGAAAAATGACGTTAGAGACTTGCAGTGGATGTAACACAGCTACATGCTTCCATTTAGCATTTGTGAAAGAGGGAGAATGGGATGAAATGAATCTGCAAGACCAAGTTGCCTGGGTTACCTAGGTTTTCTAATCTAGCAGAATTTAGAAGTTGAGAAATTGTACATAAATTTTTTACTTCTTGTTGGAGGATCAAGCATCAAGAAGTGTATTTTTTTTAAGTGAACGAAAAGCTGCAAATTAGTATTCAGTATAGATAACTTTATTTGTGCTCCACTTTGCTAAGCAGTAGTACATAACCAGGGCATCAAAACTGGTCTTTTTTGTTTGGTTGGTTGGTTGTTTTTTTTTGAGGGGGGGCCACGGGGAGAGGATGCAGGGTTGGGCTGTTTTATAATTATTATGATCACATTTAGCAACAAAGCAATTACAGCACCTTTGTCTGCAGTTTTAAGAGGCTAAGTTTTATGTGTTTGCTTTGCCATGTGACTTAGGGGGTTCGAGGCAAATACTGCTTATATTTTAGCTGAATGTTTTGGAGTACTCTGTGTCTCCTGATGTGAAATGCACCCCAAATCCATAGGTTTTTTGGTGATGGAGGACCAATTTAACTTGAGGTGGTGTTAAGAGATACTCAAGGACAGAAGCTGCTGAAGTTGAGGGCTGTGTGGTGCCAGTTTGGTGAGCAAGGCACACTCTGTAACTGGGGTGTGATGAGAGAAGCCGGACAATGTTCCTGGATTAATAGCTCAATTGGAAGTTGAGGTAAAACAAAAGCACAAGGGGATCCTGTCAGGTCCAGCTGTTTCTACCCCTGCACACCCTCGCCTTTTATGCATTACTTTCTCCCTGTCTGAAACCACCACGTTCCCACCCTTGGAGCTAATGGCAGGGTGGGGGCAAATAAGGAGGGGGGGTTGCAAGCGAGCAGAGGCAAGTGGTCAGAAGTATCACGTTTCTCAGAGTGTCCCACACCCTAAATTCAATGATCCCTTCATGAGAAACAAATTTTTTTTTTTTTTTTTTTTTTTTTTAGCTCGGGACTGGTGTGCGGTGCAGAGCTTTTTTAGGTGCAGCTCTGAGAGGTAGAAGCTGGGGGACAAGGAGGCTGGGGCAGGGACCTAGCAGGACAGGGCAGCGTGCTGGGACGCTCTGTGTGTGAGTGAGTGAGACAGACCGCGTGTGTGGGTTTATTTTTTCCTCTCATTCCTGGGGTCTGAATGGAAAGCACGTTGAGCTGTAATTAAGACATCTTGGAGGCGTACTTAACTTATGACGTGTTGCTTTTCTTTTCCTCTCGGTGAGAAAGTGGCTCTCTTTTCCCTGAATCAGGTCCTCTGCCACCCAGAGCCACAAAGAGACACTCGGGACATAGGCACACACACGCACACGCCAACTTAAGGTGAGCACCATAAACTTCCTCTGCACTTCGCTGTCCTGCTTGAAACTGTTGGAGAGTTCTGAGAGCATCTTGATTCGGGAGCTCCACACAAGGTAAAGAAATAATCAAACTTTGGGGAAAGGTTTTTGCTCCTTTATTGCTTTGAGTCAGATGGGGACGCAGTAAGCAACTATAGCATCAGCTGCAGGGCTGCACTGAAAGGACTTTCAAGCAATCTAGTTTGGCAGCTAAGGGGGGGAGAGGGTGAAAGACGAATTGAAACTGACTAAGTTCGGTGTGTTTAAGTGCTCTGTGTTACCAAAGGAGAGATCATATTGCAACTGCAGATTCAGTCTGAAATACAAAAGTTGTATACTTCTGCTCTACAGCTTCCTCCTGTGGGATTATACATTTCACAGAGATTTGTCTTTCTTGTAGAATTTCTCCTCCCTGTTAGATGCTTTTAGAAGTTTTTAGGATGCAGGAACAGAAGGACGCTGAACTGAACAAGAATCTCAAGGGCTGGAAGTGGATTTGTGTAAAGTGCAGACCTTCCATTTGGAAGGAGAAAGATTTTGATAAGTGTGATAAATTACATGCTGAAGTTGTATTTATTTATTTATTTATTTATTTATTATCAAAGAAAGTCTGAGCAACATTTGGCATGGGTTTCTGTATCTTGACTCATTCATCTGCATTGGATGGCAGAGCATTATGAATGTGTAGCTATCTACAAGTTAGCTGGTCAATCACTATAATAACTTTATCATCTTACTGCCTGTTTGTTTGCTTCTTGGTCAAATACCTGTAAAGGTCTCAATCAAAATGTTTTTCATAGCATGACAGCTTGTATGGCAAGTTTAGATGGAATGCATTTATGGGTTTAAATTAAGGAGATCTATTGTTATCATTAGAAAGGGAGATTAATTAGTGTTTTAGTGATCTTTCAGGTCAGAATATATTTCCCTATATGTTATGTGATGTCATAAATTGATATAACTCCTGCAGGAGGCTCTGGAAAATTGGCCATGTGCAGGAGAATCCTATGAATTACTGACAATAATGAGTTTGTATTAATGATTAGCAAGACTATTTTAGTGTTTAAATACAGAAAGAAACCTATTGGGTTTTTTTAGGAAAATGTTAAGAAACATGACAGTGAAGGCATAGGTGCAAGAAGTCTGTGTAACCAATACATACCCTCTCAGTAAACACTTTTTGAAGATTGAGCATTTATAGAATGTAGAGAAATGCATCATAAACAGGAAAATTATTACCAGTTCCTTCTCCAGAGAGAACCAGGAGTTACTGTTTTCGCACCAATGAGCATCACACAGAATGCCAAATCCTTTTGCTACACAGACAGCTCATGCTTCCTTCATTTTTCATATCTACTGGTGGCAGACCTTCAACTCCTGTAGAGAACAGCTAAGTGGAATTGCTCTGAATGTGTTGAGAATCTAACCTGTGTGTACTTACCTGTATTAAAGTTAGTAACAAGCACAAAAGAGAAATTTGAAAGAAGAAATAAAAGCAGAAAGGAAAAAAAAGGTTAATTTGTGATGTTTTAAACACAGCAGTTAAAGCAAAAAGAGAAAAATTGTTTGTTAAAGAGCAGCTTTTCTGAGTTGAATAATAAATCTGTCAAGGTAATAATCAAGACATTCCCGGTCTGCACTGAAGACATGCCAGAAGGCCAGTTTTCCTAATAACCTTCAAGAACATTCTAATGAGAAAGAGAAAAAAAGTCCATGTCATTATGAAGAAGTGTTATCTATAGCAGTGTCCTATTCAGAGACCTGACTGCCAATGTAATTCACAGTAAAGCACACTTTCCTTATGAAGCTAATGTTCGGTTTCCTCTCATTTTCAGTCTCATTTTCCTCTCATTTCAGTTAGTAAGGCTAAAACAGCTAGCAACTTCTAAAAAACAGGAAGAGTAATTATGGTAGTGCAAAGGTTTGGGGTTCTGGGAGAGAGGCTTTAGAAAAGGGTAGTGACTCTCTGTCATGCTGCAGTGCACCTTTGTTTTTACAATTTGTGATAGGGCAAGAAAAGCATTTTCTGCTGCACTGAGAACTCGTCAGTCTCTCTGATTTTATGCTGAAATGTGAGCAAATGAAATATTGTTGTTCACTGTTGGTCACAGTATGGAGCCAGAAGAGCTGGTATCAATATTTAGTTAATCAAGTCACTTAACCTCCCAGCCCCTCAGTAAAAGTCAGGAAACAATATTGACCAAGCTTAAAAAGTGATTGAGGTCTTCAAGGGAAGGGTGACTTTGTAATTACTTACATTTAAATGTACTGAAAGTTTTCCAATTTTGTGCAAGGATTAAAGAGTGAGTATTGAAATTAATAATTTCATTTTCATTTGCTTTTCATTTGCTGTTGCACTGAAGCAGTGGTTAAACTGCCCTTGGAATTTAAAATACTTTGCATTTCTACATTTCATTGTGAACCTGACAGTGTATTTCATTACTTAAAACTCCCTAAAAATGAAATGTACAGTTGAGGGGGGGAAAAAAATAATTTTCATATTACAAGCTGCTTCTGTTGCTTGTGAGGAAGTATTAGACATTCTGTCTCCACTGTTAGTAACTGTAGGATACAGTACTGGGCTTGAAAAGGTAGCTTGTAATTTGTAGGTTACAAAATGTTCTTTGGGGAAAAAAGTCTGAATATACTCAGGATTTCAATCAATAGCGTTTAAGGAGGATTAGAGGAAACAGCTGGCTAAACAAATATTAGGTGTAGAGTGGATGCAGTGGTATAAATTAATAATGCAGTTCTTTATCTGCTGTATGAATGGGAGGTTTTGTGGAGATAAGGTGACCTTAAGGCGGTCACTGTGTGCCACCTAGTGGATACTGAGAATAGTTTTTCCACATATATATGTATACTAATCCTGAACATCTGTAACTAATCCAGGTGCAATTTAATTCTAAGCGGTTAGTTTTATTCAGTTTTACCATGAAAAGCTGTCGGCTAACTTAAGGAAAGAAAAATAAAGAAAAACACATTTTCAATAGTTTCTTTCTAAATGCCTGTTACATCTGCTAAAATTCAGTTTGGGGTTTATTTTATGTAATTTGTCACTGGTATCTGTTTATGAAGAGTTTTTAAATCATTCACTATTAAATATCTAAAAATTTACAGTTTGACATACCAAGCTGTCATTGGAGAAAGCAAAGAGAATTTTGCACAAATGTTGTAAATATTGTGGCAGAATAATCTGTGTTTGGCAGTAAGGATTTCAAAACTCCTTCCAAAACTCCATTATCATGTGGGATGTGCTGTTGTTAAGCTTCCTCTTGTTTTGTTTTTGAGTGTGTTGTCAATGATAGGCATGGACAAAGAAAATGTCAGTTTACTTCTGATGCTCAATGAAAGGTCAAAACCCCTCTCCATCTTCTTTTCCTGTGCATGTCATTTATCTCCACCTTCTTTGGACCTCACACACACTTAACTCTTGGAATAGTAAAGAGAAAAAAAAAATTGCCCGTTGGTCCATTGCACTGTTTATTCTGTAGTAGATGTTCAGGTGCTGTCAATAATATAATAATAATCATAACTCTAAAGAATCCGATGAAATGACAAGATTTTAAGCACACATACATCAATCTGGATTACTTTGAAACTGTTTATGTAATGTGACCAGCTTATGTGATATCACCACCATCAAAGCTCCTACTACAGTCATCTCTCAGGCACCTAAAAGCAGTGAAACATCTATTGTTCTCATCTTACATTATTCAAGTAAGTGCCACAATGGCTGCTGTGGCAAAGACGTATTAAAATAATTGGCAAAATGTAGCTCCCTGTGCTTCACTCCTTCCTGATTTTCATCACTGTCCGATCAGTAAATCAAATAGCAAGTCCACACTTAGCAGAACAAACAGTTTTCATGTCCTTCTCATCTACTTAGCTTTGAGAATGCTTTTTTTTCAGTTGTTGTTTTCTTTCAATTAGTACAACAGAGTGGAAATCCTGAAAATGATCAATGGCTCTGAAAACAAACATTTAAAAGATGCATTAAGAAATCTCAGAGCAGTAATCTGTATAAAGACTCCACTGACTACTCTGAAAACATTTATAAAGAATTACATGAAATAATGCTGTAGGAGGTTGTTAGTATGATGCATGAGTTAATGGCAAAAGCAAAAAGGAACTCCACCTTTCCATTAATTAGGCGGTCTACAAATGAAAGCCTTGGAAAGTAAAATATCACAGCAACATATAGTCTAATTGATTTGATGCCATGCTTCATAGGGTAGCTACCATTTCTTTTAACTTTGCCTAGCCTGGTACTGTGAATCACTCTCTGGGAACCAAACCCAGAGAGTAGTGAAGGGAGCATTGCAAGGCAGAAATCTCTCCCAGAACAAAATTTTCCGCTAGAGTCGTCATCACGCATAGTCTAAGACATTTCCTAGAGCAGAGCACATCAGATGCTATGCTGTGGTAGGATAAACATCATTAATTGTCTGGCATTATAGAAATGACCAGAAGAATGTGACTGGATATATGCCTCCTGCTTCAAAAAATGTCATCGTGGCATTTGTCTAGCAGCAGAAGGCCGCTGTCTTGAGACAGTTTTCCGTTAATAATATTCCCTAATTACTTCAAATGCATACAGCTTACAAAGAACATACAGGCAATTGAGACAGGTTAGATTAGAAGTGTGTTTGGAAGAAATCTAGGTAGTAGAAAACAAATGTTGTCTGGATGCCATGTCATCTGCATTGTATCAGTAAATATTTGTGCATTATGCTGAGAGGTAAACTGTCATCTCATGCAAATACCATTTCTTTATTTTTAGTATTTTTTTTAGTATTTTTTCCCTACAATGGCAGGTCAATGGTCATTTGTAGTTCTTTACATACAGGCTACTATCCTCAGTTATTTCAATACTGATGATTCATTGTTCTTTTAGTAAGTGGCAGTCAGTGCTTGGCGTTTCTGTTTTAGAAGATCTTATATGCAAGGCTCTGTGCTGTTAGATTCTGATCCAGCAGAACAATATATAAGAATCTTTACATACATCAGTAATTCATACAAATCAATGGAAACTCAGATAGGGCTCAGGGAATAAAACTATTCATCTTTTTTTGCAGAATGGTGTCCATAATTTCCAAATGGCAGTAAAAAGGCAATGCACAAAACTCCTAACCTGCAAATGTGTTTATTATAAACTTAAGTACTTAGTTGATGTCGGTAAAGTGTCCTTTTAAGTAAAATAGTATATATTTACAGGGAATGGAGGAATCAAGGCCTGCACCTGTGAAATCTCTGTGTCAAAGAGCTGCAAGTTCAATGTTGGACAAAACTTGTCATTGACAAAAAAAGAAAAATCTTCTCAAAACTTACAGTAGGAACTTAGTGACTGTTCATCTATTTACTAATATTAAAAAAAAAAAAATATGCCACACCCCAAAATGTCTATGTGTTGGTTGTTTTGTTCTATAAACACATTATAAAACAAATGAAAAACCCAACTCTTAGTACTTAAAAATTATGCTATATATGTGTGTGTATAATATTAATATATGCAAAAATACTGGCTAAAATGAGGAAAGCTCATTGCAACATTTCCTACTTTCTACTAGTTGAAGAATAATTATCATATGTGTCCCAAACAAGAGATTTATAAGAATAATATCAAAAAAAGCCATGTTACAGTAGGTCCAGTACTTCTTCTGAAACAGCAGTGATAGTATCTGCTGCAACTTTGGCAGGTTTTAATGGTGCTGCCACCTTCTGCCATGCCCTGCTTATTGCCTGAGCTAATTTACTCCCACATGCTCAAATGCTGCTCATGCAGTAATTAAGCTCCATGTTTTTTATTTTGTGAAAAAAAAAAAAAAAAACCCTATGTAATTAATGTTCATACCTTTTGTAACTCAGAATTTTCAAACATCTGAAACAAAATGCTACATTTTGCCAAATGATTGTAACTTGTTTCTTTAATAACTGTGCTGTTCCAAATAGGTGTACAAAGTGAGAATCAGCAAGTGAGAGCAAGTCAGACAGGCAGGCTGTTGTTGCTGTTAAGATGTTGTTGTATGCATTTGTTGATTGTTTTTTCTTACTTGAGCATATTTTCAGTGTACATGACTACTGAAATAAAAATTATATTCACGAAGTGACAGTGTGTTTGGCTGTGCATGTAGTGGTATGTTTGGTCATGTGTATCATGTGACATCATTCTGATGTCTTTTGGAGACTACATGTTCATCTCTTGCAAGTCAAGGACTGATAGGACACAGTAAAGATGTTGATCAAATATTTTCCAGATTTTGCCCATGTAAAACAGTAATTAAAGAGGATGGTAATTAAGCTGTTAATATTGATAAATGTAACTACAGCCTACAGTGGCTTTAAATATTGAATAAGACATTTGATAAGTCATTGTAATCTGTCTGAAAATCTATTTTCTCAGAAGTAGTTGCAAATGAAAAAAAAAGAAAAAGAAAAAAGAGACATCGGTAGATTAACTAGCTTATTTTTTAAAGACTGCCAGTACCTCTGAATGCCAGGGCAGGAAGCTTAATATTCAGAGTCATTCACTTGGTAAATGGTGCCTACCACGGCATGTTTGCATGACTGCTGGTTTGGGGTAATGTCACATTACTGAGCATGTAGTAGGAGACTGAAACACTTCATGCTGCAGAGGCTATGAGTCTTTCAATACAGGTGCTCTGAGCCTGTAAATCAGAATAAAGATTTGCACTCCAGATGTGTGTTATGCTGATCTTATGAAATACTGGGAAAAAAAAAAAAAAAAAAAAAAAGAAAGAAAGAAAACGAAAAAGAAAAGCAACAAGGAAGAACAGGTAGAACCTGAATATATGTATGGCAGCAAAAGGAACAGTGCATTTAAATAAGCAGTGATACATCCTGGGAAATCAAGCAGGAAAAAATATGTAATTTTTCATCAAGAATTTCTCAGAGTAAATCAAAATTGTAATGAAACATTTGTTGATGTGCCTCATAAGGTTCTCTTTAATGTCACTGTCTGGTCTTTCAGGCAATGGGTTGTTGCATCTAATTTCCAGGCATTTCTTTCTCTTTACCTCATGAGCAGCTAAGACAAGCATGCAACTATTAAATTTTCAAAAGCAAGCTCTGTATCTGACTTCATCTGTGTTTTAATGTACATTCCACTCTAATCAAAACAGACAACAAGAAAATCTTTCAAATCCATTACGGCATTCCCTAGTAGGAGGGGAGAATGTTAGTAGGAAGTGTGACATTTTCATAAATAAAGCCAGGAAGGTACTGTCTTGATGAAATTTGTGTGGCATGTTTTCAAAACCAGTTAGAAAATCAATAGCTCAGTATAAAAACAGAAGCACTTACCCAATAGGATTTTGCCAGGGTTACTCAGTTTTGGTAGTCTTTGGTATTTTCATTAGTTACCTGGATAATAGAATATAAAATACACTGAAATTGTTAGAGAACATAAAACTGGGAGAGCTTACTGTATTTTGGAAGCTATGCTTTGAATGGTTTTGCCTAATTGGAGGGAAGAAAAATTTAAAAAACCCCTTTTCAATAAACACCATGTGGTGAACTCAGGCAGGAAGATAACAATGTGGTAGACTGAATAAAGCATAAGGTCCCATTTGAGCTTGTTCCCAGTGTCAGTTGCTGCATCTTCAGAGCTGTATAGACCAACCAAAGAGAATAATAAACAAAATGATAGTTTAGGTAGCACAACTTAAAATAAAGAACAGAAAAACCTCAACGGTGAAGTCAAAAAAGACATTCTCGCTATTGTGCATCACAGTATTCCATTAATTTACTTTGAATATCAGATTGATAGAAACTTTAGATTTACTGTATTTCAAGAAGAATGGAACAAAATATGCAAAAAATGTGAATTGAACAGAACCTTATCAAGAAATAATAGTTTCTGATAGCCTATCAGATAGGCCTATCAGATACCTCATTTATAGAAAAAAACTGTTAATGCACAAGCATTTATTTCTGGGGCTGGAGACTTAGATCCTCTCAAGTCGTGTGGCAGAAGTGACTTACTTAATTTTTGGTGCATCTGGTGATAGATGTAAAATCTATTATTTTATTTGAGGAATGCACCATTACTGAATTACCGCAATTGTTTGTTTGGACTCTGGCCTTTTCTTGACATTATGTTATATGACTTTTTATTTCCAGTTGAGTATGAGTTTGAGCAGATCTATATTTCTGTGACTTGCAATGTATAAAATAGTCTCAGGAAACAACCTTCCTTCTGTGGATAATGATAGTCATTTATATATATATATATATATATATATTTAATATTAATGCCAACAGCCAAGAGAGTATCACATTAAAGTAAAATCAGATCTTACAGATGTGGTGTAATAATGGGGCCCACATACAGGAGGACAAGAACTCACCCTAATAAATGTATCTGAAGAGAGGGAGATGAGGATCTCCAGTATGGAAGCACACCACCTTTAATTCCTTTGACACTAAACAGACAATGTAACATATTTCTCATTTTGAGATTGAATAAACCAATGATCCAAAGCCATTGGAAATTCAGGATAATAAGCTTAGTTCAATAAATTTTGGTTTTCTGTCTTCAAAGCCCACACACATGCCACCTGTGGCAATGGCTGTTTTGGTAGCGGAGTCAATCCCATTGTGTCTGCTTCAGATAAGTTTATAAATATATAGTCTTTGTTCTCTAGAGGAAAAGCAGAATCAAGAATTTTCCTATTTTATAGTTCAAGTTTGGCAAATTCAATTATTCAATGTACAGTAAATTTGAACATCAGGACAAATAGAGTAGTCTGTTATTCAAAGCTGCATCTCTATTCTAATAGTTTTAGGATGCTCATATTCTTTTTATGAAGAAATGATGTCTTGAAGGTTCTTTACAGACTTATAAGCTCCTCCCAGACTTTAGTAAGGACAATTTAGCACTAAGAAAATGTATGTGGTTTTTACCTCAAGGGAGATTTTGTTCATTTCTCTGTCATGGAAGCTTAAACACGGCACATGCCCTAGAAAGCAGAAAGCAAATTCTGGTAATTCCTATAATATTTTGCAGGTTTGTTTTATTAGGTCATCAGCTTTGAAATCATTGTATTAAATAAGAGTCTTGATTTACACTGAGAAAAACCTCTTTGACTTCTGTGTTTGCAATACAAAGATTGAATATCAACTCTTGAAGTGAATTAGTAGAACCCTAACCACACAGTTTGGTCAAAGAATTCTTTGTATCACTAGGCTTAATGAGGCTGATAGTGGCATTCTTGTCTCAGAGGAAATGGACCCATACTGACATACAAAGAAATTCTGATTCAGTGTAAGAAAAACTTTGAGGGTGACTGAAGACTGGAGCAGGTTGTCCATTGAGGTTGTAGGGTCTCCATCCTGGAAGAGACCAAATGGGGGACTGGACTGGACAGTCTCCAGAGGCCTCAGGTATTCTGTGATTCTGTGATTCATGCTCTTACACTCATTGTTTGTGTATTTTCTATACACATGGTACAAATCTTAGCTATTTTTAACTTGATAATTACTGACTTCACTTAAAGTGAACTATGGGTTCTCTCTTGGCTGTTTGGACATACAAAAAGCACAAGAATAAAGAAAGAGAAGATGCTACACAGTGGTGCATTTTCAGGTGTCATTCAAGGAAAGAGGAAGCAGGATAAAAGTAAAGGCAAAGAAAGAGGGGGAAAAAGGTACAATATTGCTTTACTTCAAGTATGAGTAGAGGTGTGTAAGGAAGAAGCTCTCCCTGCTGTGCATGGTAACTAATGCTGTCAAGTGTTGAACAACTGTTTAATCTGTGTTTAGCTGAATCTAGAGAAGCAAAGAAAGACAACATACAGAAAGTGTGAAGCTCATCTGCATTATGTTTCTCAGTTGGCACTTCTATTTCCTGTCATGCAGCCCTTAATTGCTCTTGGTTTTGACCTTTAATGCAATTCTCCAGCACTGAACTGATCAGCATCTCTAGATTGACTCAGGAAGCAATGAGTACTTCATGGTTGATTCAGTGCTAGAAGAGCCTTTTGAAGTGTTATCTTTAATCTCAAAACGACTTCAAATGTATTCCAAGTAATGTATTGCATGGATAAGCCAGCAGATTTGTCTATGATTCTGACTTACTTTCTTCCTCTGCATTGAAATAAGAGCATAGGCTAGCCAAAAGTTCACATGCACAAAGCAGACCATTTGGGATAAATTTGTGCTTGCTATATTTTTCTGATACAATCAGTCATTTTCCTGCTGCAGGATTACAAGTCATGTAACTTTACTGAAAATCTGAAGACTGGCATCTTAATATTTTTATCTCCCTGCCACTGAGACTGAGAATTTCCACAAATCCACAGAGGATTTGGAGGGAGTGCTTATTGCCATTTTCACTCCTTGCTGTGTAAGGGAGAGCTGGTTGATGTACTAGCAGGGGGAATGTTACACAGTATCAGTTTCAGATTCAAGCATCTGAAAACACAGTTGTTATGTCTTATTTATTATGTGCGACAAGGAAGAAAAGAATACTTAGTAGTTAAGACTTTTTACTGTTGAGAAATTTTACTGCTGCTTGAGAAACATATTTTCATCTCATATAATTTTCTTTCTGACCTTGAATAAGCTGGGAGCTTCTTAGTGCTTCATATCTCTGTCTGTAAAAGTGTGTTGATAAAGCCTACCTTTTTCACAGAGATGGTATAAATTCCTGTAGGTAACAAAATCAGTTCATCTGATAGTATAGAGTCACCTCTAAAATGTGGCCATACAGCCAGTTCAGTTGAGCAAGGCATAATGCTATGCCATATGTATTTCTTCTTGTAATAGTATCCCAGAATGTACGGGTATATATATGTATGTCTTTGTATAAGCCAATCTAGTCCTGGCTACCTTGAATGACTTTGGGAGTGACCATAATGAAGGATCATCAGAGAAGGTGTAGGGAGAGCTCATGGACTGCTGTTCACATGATACCATGTAATTGTCTTTATGCTAAACTTCTGGTTTCCAAGGTGTTTACGTGCATTTCTGCAACACTGAGTAATAACAACCTACTCACTGAGCTCAAAGCAACAATTTCATTAGAAGAGGGAATAGCCCTATATAACTTAGGGCTGCAATTTTCCTACTACAACAGATAGCTACTATTACAAATAAAGAAGATATGGCTGCATGTTAAAGACTACAAGAAAGTAAGGAAATGTAAATGTATATGTGTATATAAAGTGAAATGTAAATGTGAATATAGGTACAGAAAATAATTTAGATTTGTAAAATACATGCAGCAATTAAAACTATATACTGCTAGATGTGAATATTTTAGCATCTTTTTCAATACAAGGGAACCCCCATTATTCACCCTAGGATAAATTATAAAGAAACTAATAGAGTTCATAAAGTAGAAGGTAACTAACAATCTGGTCAGAATGCTTTGAGCAATGAGATTACTGTTCCATATAAAGAAGGCAAGGCACGTCTGGCTCATACTTTGTTGCAAATACCAGTTTAACTTTCCATTGTGTATTTTTCCAAAGGTTAATACAATTGCCTGAAAAATGGTAAATAATTACAGTAAAGATTGTGTGATAATGTCTTCTGGCTCATTGACTCAGAGACCAATAATTCTGACTTCATTCTCCCTTTATAGTATATTCATTCTGAAATGATTAATTTATAAACTCATAAACTTAATGGGAATACTTTTAGCTATATCTTATTGCATATTCAAAGCAGGTAAAATAATTTATTTTGAGGCCACAAACATATGTCATATCAATGTCTTGTATTCAATCTTAGTTCCTTAGGTTAGGTGACAGATTGCTATTGTCCTCACAGTTTTATTCTTCCAAGTGCTGAAGGAAGGACTGAGTTATTAGAGTGAATGATCTTTTCTACGTTAAAGATTCAAAGAGTGGCTAATTGTACTTGCAGCCCAGAAAGCTAACCACATCCTGCGTTGCATCAAAAGAGGGGTGGCCAGCAGGGCAAGGGAGGTGGATTATCCCTCTCACTCTGCCCTCGTGAGGCTCCATCTGGGTTAAAGATCACATCTGGGGCCTCCAGAACAAGAAAGATATGGAAAATGGGTCCAGAACAAGCCACAAAGACCATGAGAGGGCTGGAGAGCATCTCTCCTGCAAAGAAAGGATGAGGATATTAGTTGAAGTTTTTAAGCCTGGAGAAAAGAAGGCTCTAAGGAGGCATCATTGCAGTCTTCCAGTACTTAAAGGATGCCTACAAGAAAGACGAGAATGGACTCTGTCAGGGAGTGTAGTGATAAGAAAAAAAGGGAATGACTTTGAACAGAAAGGGGGCAGATTTAGAGTAGATAAAAGAAAGAAATTTTTTACTCAGAAAATGATGAGATGCTTCCTAGAGAGGTTGTTGATACCTGGAGGCATTCAAGGCCAGGTTGAGACTCTGCACAGTCTCATTTGGTGAGTGGCAACCGTGCTCATGGCAGGGGGATAGAGCTCAATGATCTTCAGTGTTCCTTCCAACTCAAGACATTGTGTGATTTTAAACATAGTACTTAATGGGCTGGAAAATGTCAGGAATTTTAGAGAATTTAGGTTATATAACATATGATATTGAGGGATTTAGAATCTGGGAGGACATTTGTGACCTTGGGGTTTCAGGAAAGTTAAGGACTATCCCTGTTGTGAGTGGATATGATGCACAGTGTAGCAGATTCAGGCAGGAATCGCTGAGCTGTATAGCTCAAGTTCATATTATGTAGGCTTTCTTCACAACTGTTAAAAATGTTCAGATCTTACACACTGCTTTTCATTCTATGTCCTATATGGCATTACAGAGATGGCAACTAGCGTTAAGTCATCTGGTAAAACTAGAAAGGAAATTAAAAATGATCTTTATATTTTTTAAAGTAAAAGCTTAAAAAGATTGATGATCCTTGAGGTCCCTTCCAATCTAAGCTGTTCTATGATTACAATCTGGAAGATAGTTTTGAAAGAAAGGGAAATAAAACTGCTTTTTATTAGCTCTACTTGTCTAGTGTGCAGAGAATTCTAAATACTTCAATACATACAGATGGCGGCATACTCCCTTTATAGCACCTGCTCTATGACTGCATCTTGTGTACTGCTCAGAGGCACTGCTCAGAGTTACCTTGAGACCAGAAGTAACATGCCATCAGGGTCTGCTTTGATAGAAAATAGTTTCTAGCCATGATATTGCCTCAGCTAACTTGCACTGCTGAAAACATTTATTCAGTTTCTACCATATCACTGCAGTAAGCTGTGAATGACATGTGAAACTCATACCCTTGGCTTCAGTGATTGATATGTATAGGCAATGTTGTTTAACTATTGCTCTTAGTTGCAAAAAACAAACAATATTTGTCTTTGACAGTGTCCATTACTCTCTTACTACGTTAGAAAAGTTAGATCACTTTTCCTTTTTTCTGTTGGACAGCCTACGCAGATACTATTGCCCTCTTCTTATATCTGCAAAATGTTGAAATACCTTGATACAAGATAGAAAGGCTTACTTTAGTTTGTTTTGTTGTTGTTGATTGTGTTTTTTTTTTTTTCCCATTTAGTAGTTCTGTATCTTTTAGAACATCCAGAGGATCTAATTCTAAATGTTCTAGATTATTCCATGTAGTTTGATTTTTTTCTCCATTTTCTTAACAAGTAAATACAAAAAAAGACATCTCTTATGCTGGACATGAATATGCAAATGAAAACACACTGGAAAATGGTTGCAAATTTTCACTGGGAGAAAGAAAGGCTTTGAAGAAAACTAAAAAAAAAAAAAGTACTTTGGATAAAATCACAATCAACAGACAAAGTGGATGTGCTTAATAGAAAATAATGTTAAAGTGAGCTTGGAGGCTGAATAGTAAGTTCATGATACTGGACTGTAATTCTGGATCTTCTCTTGGGATTTGCCATTGGTTATGCTGTGGTACAAGAAGAAATTGTATTTGTCAGTGAGAAGAAAATGCAGGGCCTTTCCCTGCAGGCACATCTTTTATTTCCTGCTTGGAAAATATTTAAAGACTAATGAAATTTTGTTAAGAAGTTAAAAAAAAATTAGTAAATAAAGGATAGAAGTGATGAAAAATTGTGAAGAAAGAAATCAGCTTAAGTCTAAAAATTGTTTCGGAATTTAGGGCACACAATTAAAGTCTATGTTGTAGGCAAGGTGCTATTTATAGCTTGTACATTCAGAGTTTACACTAGGAATGAGTTTATAGTGGAAAGTATGCTAGGTTATGAGTGTGCCAGTGTCTTTTTTTTTCCTAACAAAATCTAATTTGAGACATTTGAACAGAGGTGCTCGCAGTAAGGACTGATGTTGAAGACTTTTCTTCTCTTACAACCAGTTTTAAATCCTTAATGAAATATGTGTGCCAGTCCTTTTATAGTAAAAATGAAGGGAATTTCTCAGCTCTAAATAGCATCCAGTAACAACAGACAGGGAGAAGATTGAGGTATTATTCAATAAATTTTTTTGCCTCAATCTTCACTAGTGATGGCCCTCAAGTGGATGTCGCAGTTGTGAAATAGAGGTCATCCACAAACTCACACAGTAGCTGTAAGGAATGTTGCTCAGCACATTTTCAATTCTTTTTCTTTCTTTAATTTTTAGTTTTCTCATTTTACTCTCACCTCACTTCCAGGAGCTGCAGCCTTTTGCAGCCATTCTCCTCTTTACACCTCATGGTTTGTTGACCAGAAATTTGAGGATATAGACACTAGACTTTAGTAATCTCTCTCTGTTCCCCCAGTTGTTTAAACTGGGAACCTGCAGTTCTTCCTGCAGCCAAAGTCTAGACCAAAGCATGCTTTGCTTTGTATAGCACTGATACATGCAGCATGACAACTGAGGGAGAGTTCATGTGTTCCCTTGGATGACTCATGTAATGCTCACCTAAAACTGAGGTCCCAAGCAGATTCTTAGCCATAGAGCATTCCTCTCCACCTCTCCAGCTCCTCACACTTGCTTTTATAGAACATGGGCTGGGTGGGGGGAAAAAAAGAAAAAAAGTTTAAAAAAAAGTGTTATTGTTTCAGTTTTTCTTTCCTCCCCACACAACAGAAAATATCACATTTCTCAAATAGTGTTCCCCTGAAGCACAACTGAGTTGCTGTGACTCCTTGAGAGCAAAGTGCCTCTGGCATCTCCTGCAGTTCCATCCTGGCACTGCAGAGATTAGAGCTAAATGCCACAAGTTAGTCTGTAAGTATAAGGAAAACAACTCTTGCTCTACATTTATGAAAAACAGACTCATGCCTATACCTCAACCATATGGATTACATATTAAACAACGGTATTCAGAGACATTAGTTCCATGCAGTGCAATCTACAAGTGTGTGTGTTAGGGGTGCAAAATTGTTCTGTGTTAAATGCAGGCTTTTTACCTGTGCTCTTTGTCTGTCAGATTTAATTAGGGCAGTGACCTGATTTCTTAGAGGTAGAGTTCTACTGTCTACAACATTTCTAGTGAGGCTAGACTATTAAAAAGTTCATTTGTTACATTTATGTTTTTCAGAAAATTTCACTTTGAGACTCCTGGAAGTACTTTTTAAATTTCAACCATTCCTCAAATTGACCAAAAAGTCAAGGTGATTTTAGAAGGAGGTCATTATGCTCTGACAGCCAGATATACCATGTTTTTTAATATTCTACTTGTTTCAGTGACATTTTCTTTAGTATTCTTTGCTGCAATACTAGCAGTACCCCCTCAAATGACAAACTCTGGCTCTGTGGTCCCCATGCAAGTGTTAAAATAGATGTCATACATGCGTAACCCACTTCAGAATCAAATTAACCACTATGCAGGCATGAGGAAGAGTGGGAGTGGAAGCCTGAGACCTGCTCAAATCCATTCTGACAGTTTCTGATCCCAGAAAGCATCAAGCTAACTGTACTTGGGTATGAGCCCACTTTCTCCTTGGGATCCATTATAACTGCATGAGTAGTCATTCTTTTTTCCAGAGCAGGTAATATGCCACAATATTTCAAGAGTAAAAATAAGAGATGGAAGTTATTTTCCTGCAGATTTTTTTTGTAATTTCCCTCTTTGTCTCATGCAGTATCTCCAGAAAGAGGATGACAGTTCCTCCATGCTGGTTTTCTGGTTTAATTTACCAGCTTTTTTTTTTTTTTTTTTTTTTTGTGCAATCATATCAGACAATCTTGTTTTATCAAAGACGTTTAATGACCAAAGTTTGAATGCTCATCTACACATATATACATGCACACATAGATGTGCAAATTCGTATATGCATATATGTAAATGGAGGAATGCATATAAGCACATAACCACACATATAATATATGCAGGTTACTCCAGAAGTAATGCCTTCTATTTATTTCCATTGAAACTACAACAAAGAGCATAATAACACAGTTTGGTTCAGCAGGCATCGATGAATGTCCCTGGATGCTAGTGTCTCTGCATGGAGCAGTTCAGACTGCCCCTCTGCTGCCATTTGTCACAGGGCAAGAAAATGAAATGGTATTTGTGAGAAGGTTCAGTCTCTACTTCCATATGACCAACATCTGCCTCTGCAGATCGTAACATGATTATATTTTTGCCTCCACCAAGAAAATAAAATAGGAAGCCTTGCTTTCGGAGCACCCCTCATAGATTGTAGATGCAGTTGCACCAAAGAAAGAAGATTCTGCTTTCTGTATCAGTGTATTTTGGACATCAAACTGCCATTAATTACACTTTTGGAGGTTTTTCTTTGCTTCTAAGCACATCTAGTTGGGACGACGTGAGCATTGCTCTGTCTGTCTAGCTAAATCAACAAACCTTTTCTAGAGTAGAATTAAATGCAATTAGGGATTAGTGCTGCTCCCAGATTCTTGCTAGGCAGCCCTCAGGCTGGAAGGTGGGGCTCTGCTGGGGTTAGTGTTTGGAGATCTTCACAGGCATGGGCTTGGGGTTTGAGGTTTTTTTTACCCCCTGCTACGTGGCTCTTTAAGAACCCTTCCCTAGCAAAACAGCCTCACAAATGGCATTTGTACCGTCAGTTCTGACATCTGGATGTGAATCTGTGCATTTGGCCTCTGAGAAAGAAATGAAACAGAGCTGACCCCACAAGTCAGACGTAAGGGTATGTGACTGGAGCAGGCTCTCATGTCCTGTGAGCTCTGCAGTTTTTGAAGCTTGGAAAATTTGTACAAGTCACTGAGATGAAATCTAGGTCAAAAAGAGGCCAGAATTTTAGCTTATTTCATAGTTTTTTGTTCACAATACATAAGGGATGTTAAGGCCCTTGGAAGCATTCATAGAGGTGGACCAGAGCTGTTTAACAGCCTGGTAATAAATGTGACAGAGAAATTACAATTATTCCATAGTACAGAGTGGAGTATCTGAGAAGAGGCAAGCACAGACTTTCCAGAGCAGTCCTTTGTAGATCTTCCTGTTTGCTTTTCTTCCCTGTGGGGCAAAGGAGGCTAATGTCAACGACCAAAGGGAAAAGCACACCAAAGCACATTAGCACACCAAAGGGAAAAGCCATCCTTTTTAGGCAACCCTTTCAGCTGGGAATGCATTATTTCCCATGCTGTTCGGTTCTTCACTGTAGGCCACGGTTCTCACATCCACGCTTGCAATGAGTAGAGCTTGCAGTGGAAATTTTCCTGTTGTCTTGGTAAGCAGTCTGTCACTGTACTCCCTAGGACAAATACCTGGTGTGAAAACATCAGTGAAGCTTTAACTGAAAAAATTGCTTAAGAACGGTTTTGTATGTCAGGGCAAAAGTTAACCTTGCCTGGTGTCCAAGGATCGTCTGCAGTAATTACTTAGGGAAATAATAGATATTAAAATAAAGAAATAAATAAAACGGCAGGAATAATGAATTCCTTCTCTGGCTCACCTTTTCAACATCTCAAGCTGTACAAGTATGAGATCTTAGTAGGAGATCCCTATCTGTAGCCTATTACTGTTCTTTCCATCCCTCAGGGTATGACAACCCCCCTTGATAAGTAATGCTTCTCTTGGAAGTGTGGATGCATTTTGGGTGTCGCTGACTGGAGGGCGTTCAGAGCCTCTGCAAATGCGATTTGAGAACTAAAGTTTACTGCTGTGGAGCTGAAACAGCCTGCATAATGCTGAGGACATTACAGGACAAATGAAAGCCCTGCTTTTACTCTGGATGACTGTAGCAATGCTGACTCTTATAATTAACTTGGTTGAGTGGCACTTGCAAAACATATCAGTTCTATCTGCTTGCTATTTATTTAAACTAACCTACTTTGGTATCTTCGAAATCCTCATTCAGCCTAGTGGTAATGTAGATATTCTTGTTATTGGCTAAGAAAGGGTATTCTTTGTCTGGCATAATCCAAATCAATAACTTTCTTTCTTAACAGAATTTTCTAACTCAGAGATTATCAAGAAAATCTGTTATGTGGTCTTTTTTTTTTTTTTTTTTCCTCCCCATGAAATCTACACAACTTTAATTTACATGAGGAGCTGACCAAAAAGCCAGCATATATTGCCTGCACCCAAACTAAATGTCAGGACAGCGCAATTAAAAACTGCATTGATTTTTTGAGATCTGTTTTATGTTATACTCCAATGAACTGAAATGCATCCTCAGGCTTTTTATTCTTTGTATCTCTATGTGAACTAAACCCATGTCTGTGCTAAATGTGGATTTCCACACATTCTTTTCCTTAATATGTGCTTATATGGCTACTTAATTTTGTAGTGCAGGCTGCAGGTATTTCCTGAATATAGATTATTCAGTCACATCTTCCTTCATCTGAATATATCTGAAACTAAAATATGATGTATTTTGTTCTTGTAATAGTGCATGCTCTGCAAGCTGTTTTGCTTGCACAACTTAAGTGAATTGTATCTACCAGGATGTTCTGCCTTATGATTCCATTAGATAGTTGCATATTGTTCAGTTAATTCTATGTTATGTCACTCTGAAACTAATGCCTCCTATTTTTTTCCCCATGGAAAATACAACGAAGAGCACAATGACACTACTTGTGAGAGCAAATTATCAGCTACAAAACAATGTTTTCAATGGTCACCACCATGAGCTGTGCATTTTCATCAGCAATGAAGAAGAACCTGCATGCCATGCTTTACACAATCTGCACCATCAGAGGTGATGCACTGTCACTGTCACTTTGCTGAAATGCACCACCCACAGCCACGCTGTGCTCAGATCCACTGGTTGATCTCTGTAAATGTTCAGTGAGTGTCAGTGGGTGCCGTTTTTTCTGCATGGAGGAATTCAGTGACACACCTTTGCTCCATATGCACTTCCATGTCAGACACTGCTTTGTCGGACTGCCCCTCTGCTGCTATCTGTCTGTCACACAGCAATGAGATTTATATTTTACATTTTCTGATATTTATTCAGATGGTTTCAACTAAGTCCTCATCAGAATATTAAACCAAGACTGTTCGGAGGAACTCAGGAGTTCCTGGGTGTTTTGTTCTTTTTTTCTTTCCTATTGTGTTTTGATTGTATTTGTTTCCTCAACTTAATATCCTGTGCCGTTCTCTGAGTGGTCCAAAGTGGAAATGGAGCTATTATTTTCCTTTATATTCACATCATTGAAAATCTCAAAAGCATCATGAAGAATGATTGTGGAAAGGCTGCATTGTCCTCCACACCTTCAGAACAGAAGAAATGTCATCTTCATATTTTACATATAAACCTCACAGTGGACACAGGCAAGCCTTTCATGTAACTAAGCATTGCAAAAGTCAGGCCATTACGCCATGAACATGTGTCCTAACTTCATTTACAGACATTTAATGTTCTATATCAAGGCCAACAGCACTGTTAGATAAAGCATAGAGTCTACTTAGGAAGTTACTGAAGTGACTTACCAGGTCTGACTATTAAAAGTTGTTCTGAGAAGTCTTTCATAAGAAAGAAAAGGATAGGAAAGGTTTTTTGCACTGAGAGCATGCTTATAGTTGAGTGTGGAGCGTTAGGAAGCTCTGCTTGAGTATAGTGGATCATGTCTTTAATAA